TGAAATATCGGGCTCCAGTGCAGGGACGAGTCGAGCAATGATCCGAGAGTAAGAGAAGTTATTCCAGGGCATTGTCGATTGTTGAAAAAATCCCCGGATAAGATGCTTTAGAAGTTTTTTTCAACATTTTTGAAAACCATTGTTACTTGTACTGTTTATCATTATTTTGTCTCATTGACTAAGAATACACGTTTCTAAATTTGGAGGGAAGGGGTGCGAGACGATGTTCCCAGTCGTTTAAAGGCACTATAAACGGTATTATACCCGCCAAAATTTTCCTTTTCACGAATTATTGCTGGACCTGTCTCTGCACTTGAATTCGATGTTTTGTTCCTTTAAATTAAATGATTTAGTTCTGCATGACCCGTGAACTACTTAAAAACGTTAAATCGCCAGGTAGATTTTATTTAATAGTTTTATAGTTTTTACGGTCTAAATTGGGAGCTTTGCAGGATATGTAGACAAAATATACACAGAAAATATCACTTTGGCAATTTTTTATACTTTTAGCTGTCCTTGCAGAACCTTGGATGACACAATTTCATAATTTTTATCATTTTATTTTAGATTTCCTACGGCCAGGCAGTGTCCTACGGTCAACCTATACCCATTGCCAGGGTCAAGGCTAATCTTTTTGGCAATCTCATCACGTACGAGGTGGAGAATATGAATATGTTTGACTTAAAAGGGACCGGTGTAGCCATTGCTGAGGGAGCCATCGCCGCCCTTAAAGCCGAGGCCGCTAAGAATGCCGCTTAGGCCTCCTTATTCCCAAAAGTTCATAGGAGCTTGTACCAAAGTACCAATGATATTTAGAAAATATTGACTCTATAATCCTGATATATACCTGATTTCTATTTACTATCTGTAAACTACCGTGCTTTCATAAATGCAAACATTTTGAGATTTCCCAAGTAAAAAGTCTGGAAACGTGGACTTTTTTGAGCCACCGATTTCCTTTTTCTTATTAGTACACATTTGTTTGGAAATTTTAGCTACTATATAATTTCAAGTGCATTTAGTTTAGTGAGATGCCGTGCTGCATTCGAATATTTGAACTCTTGAAAGTGAAATTCACGCAGGGCGCAACAACTGACCTAACAAAACAATCCTATGCTTAATAAAATTACATATGTGCATCAAACTGGTCTTGAACAGTGTTTTTTTAATTATCATTGAAG